TCATCCTCATCCTCATCCTCTGCTCATCCTCCTTGCCCTCAACATCCTCATCCTCATCCTCATCCTCGTCATCATCGACATGTGCCTTCGCCTCCTCCTACTGCCTATCCCCCCATTCCTCCCTCCGCACCATTCTCGACGTCCACCACGCCCCCTACACGTGACGTCAGGATCATCATCATCAACAACGACATTATCATCACCATCGTCAGCATCATCATCGTCATCATCATCATCATCATCATCATCATCATCATCATCATCATTATCACCAGCATCAGCATCATCATGTTCAGCATGAGCATAAGCATGAGCACGATAATCATCATCATCATCATCCTCATCCTCATCATCATCATCATCATCATCATCATCATCATCATCATCATCATCATCATCGTCATCATCATCATCATCATCATCATCATCATCACCAGCATCATCATCGGCAGCAGCAGCATCATCAGCATCAGCATCCCTGTTCCTCCTCCTCCTCCTCCTCCTCCTCCTCCTTCGCCTCCTCATCGTCCCGTCCTCCTCATTATCGCCACCCTCGCCCCTGCTCCCCCTCCCTCTCCACATCTTCGCCCCTCCTACCTCTCATACTCCTCCTCTCCTCTTCATCCTCGTCCTCCTCCTCCTACTCCTCCTACTCCTCCTCCTCCTCCTCCCCCCTCCTCCTCCTCCTCCTCCTCCTCCTCCTACTCCTCCTCCTCCTCCTCCTCCTCCTCCTCCTCCTCCTCCTCCTCCTCCTCCTCCTCCTCCTCCTCTTCCTCCGACCTGCCCCTGGCAGCGGCGTTCGCGGGTGGAACTTCGAGGACCTGGGACCGAGGTATCTGGGAATGCTTGGTCATTTGGTGAGCCTCCTGAAGCCAGCTCTCGTGGTCACGGACCTCGACGGACAACTCTGCTCCGAGTGACGTCCAAGACAAGTCGGGAGCTGGATTTTGAGAGACACCTGTGCGGTAAACAAAACGGGGGTAGGGCGAGGGGGTAGCCCACTAACAAGGCAGTGGGGCGTCTGAGAAGGGCTCGGCAGCGGCTAACCTCGCCTTCCGGGGGGGCAGCGGAAGGGAGGATTTGAGAATGCTGGACAGAGGCGGGACGCGGGGACAAGGTGGAGGTAAAGAAAAACGAGGGAGGGCAACGAGGGGGAGACTGAGGAGGCCGAGAAGGAGGAAGACCCCAGCTCATCCAGCTCATCCGCCACCTAACCCTCTTCCTCACCCTCCACCTTCCTCCTCTTCTCCTGATCACGCCATCCCTCTTCTCCATCCTCCTTCTCATCATGATCATGCCTCCTTCACCTCCGTCATCATTTCATCCTCTTCCTCCGCCTCCGCGTTCTCCTCATCCTACGCATTCCTTGAATTCCTCCTCGCCCTCCTCGTCTTCGTGTTCCTTCTGCTCCTCTTCCTTCACCGGCTCATGTTCGTGATCGACATCACATCCTCCCCCTCTCCTCCGCATCATCCTCACGTTCCGCCTTCTACAGCTCCTTCTCCTCCTCTTCCGCTACGCACCCACCAGCTCTCCTTCCCGCCTCTACTCCTCCTCCCGCCCCTCCCTTTCCTCCGGGCGCGCCACCCACCGCCTTCAGCGGCGCCGTCGCTTCCGCCCCACCCCCCTCGCCGATCTGGACGGATCCGCCGCCGGGCCGAGATCCAAGACCCTCGTCCTGGCCCGATTCCCGATTACCCCGCGCGCGGAGGGCCCACCCCTCTCATCGAGTCGCCGGGTCGGTGGCAACGTGCCATGTATTACATTATATTACTGATAGTCTTGAGTTATCTGTACTGGTATGTATGCATGTTTGCATGAATGTATGAATGCATGGATGTAGCAATGTACTATTGAATGAGTGAATGAATGAGTGAATGTATGTATGTATGTGTCTATATACACGCCCCAAACACTCCTTGCGCTTTTGGGTTCTTACTTCTTTTCTACGGAACAGAGCCTTCGCGATGGTCCGGCGGCTGTGGTCGCCGTCGCCGCCCCGTCGCCGCCCCTCGTCTGGGCCTGCGCGTCGGTTTGGCGGCTATGTGGCAGCCGCCCCGTTGCCGCCTCGTCGCCGCCCGTCGTCTGGGCCTGCGCGTCGGATCCGCCGCCTTGTGGTCGCCGTTGGCCCCGTCGCCGCTTTGGCGCATTGCGGTGCGTTGCTTTCCATTGATTTGCTGCCTCCTTCTCTGGAGCTGGGCCTGATCGTCGGTCCGGCCATCCTGAGGCCGCTCGTCGCCGCCGTCCTTGACCACGATTTTGATCTTGCGAGGCTCGCAATTCGCATTGCTTTGCATTGCTTCGCGCTGCATGGCTTCGCATTGCTTCGCAGTGCTCTGTTGCGGGCACTGGTTTGCGCTGCTATGCGTTAATTTGCATTGCGATACATTGATTCACACTGGTTTGCATTGGTTTGCATGGATTGACTACTACAGCCAAAACAACTGCTACGATGACTACTACTACGACTACTACTACCACTAGAAAATACCACTACAAC